CCAGGTATGACTTTAAAAGTTATGTATATTGGGATCAGAAGGGCATAAAAAACTTATTAGAATTAAAACGATATGAGAAGAAAAGACATAATGCAAATAATGAAGTTTAAGTATGGCCTTAAGTGGTGGGTATGATTTGGAAAGGCAGTTATGGGTATTCTAGCAGAGCAAATATCTTTTGTTTTTTCCTATTTTTTAATACTTTAAGAATTGAGTTTGTGCTATGTTGTGCAGGCTGGACTTGAACTCCTGGGCTCAAGCGATTCTCCTGCCTCAGCCTCCTGAGTAGCTGGGACTATAGGCACATACCACTGCACCGGGCTGACATAAATAATTGAAATAACTTTATCTTACCACCAGTAAAGTGATGTCAATTGGTTTTCTCTGCCTATTATCAACATTTAAAAAAATTTTTAAGAGACAGGGTCTTGCTATGTTGTGCAGGCTGGACTCAAACTCCTGGGCTCACCTGATCTTCCAGCCTCAGCCTCTGCATAGCTAAGACTACAGGCTTGTGCCATGAAGTGGCTTTTGTAGCTTTCTTCTGTTCCACTGTGAGCTCTCTACTCTTGCTGACCATACCCTTCCCACATCCTGTACTTTTTCGGGTTCAGGCTAGGGGCTAAAATGTACCCCTTGCAGCTGGCCTCTGCCCAGACCAGCTGTGCCTCCAGACCCCTCATCTTCTGTCCTCCTTCTCCATTCCTTTCCAACCCAAGGAAGCATTTAGAAGAAAAACCATAAATAGCAAAAGGTGATTTCATTATCGCTACCACCCTCCCCATCAAAAACAAAACAAAGGGAAAGTTTGATCTCGTATGATTGGGTACCTGAAAGGACTGAGTAGGTGAAAACAGGCTAGTTAGCCTGTATCTGGGCCCTTTCTTTGGAATTCTGAGAGTGCACTTGGGAGCGTCTACATCCTGGGTCTGGTCTTTGGTACAAATGTGCCCTCTGCTGGTAGAATGGGAGCACTGGCACTTTCCTTCTCGGAAGTCTTTAATTCTAGCCTACCTCCAAGGCTGTCCCTTCTTCATCAATCTCGGTCCACACTGGTCTACCTTTCTCTCCTCCTTCCCTCTCCCATCCCACCTTCACCTCCAGCCATTGCTTTCCCTTCCTCTGATTCCCAGAGACTATTAACATAGTTGCTTTCTCCAGGAAGCCAAGAAATTTTGATGGCAAAGGGCTCAGAGGGCCTTTCCAACTCCTCTCAGTTCTGTAAACTGAGGCCTTGCCTGGAAAGCATGGAACGGAGAAGGAAAGGGGAGAACCTGGATAGAGACTGCAGGGAGAGGGAACTACAAGGAGTGGTGGAGGTGGCTAAATTGGAGCAGGACAGAATTGGTAGGGAAGAGCAAAAGATCTGGAGATGAACGGAGGACAGGAACAGAGACAGAGATCAGAAGTTAGATCAGGGGAATGGGTTAGAGAAGATCAAGGAGAGATCAGGATTTGGGTATCAAACTAGAAGAGATGACAGCAACAGAAGGCATGGAGCATAAGTTTATTCTTGTGCACAAACCAAAGTCCTGTGACCCATGACGCACACTCAATACGCAAAGGGGATTATTACTTTCCAGATGAAACAGCAAACGTGGCTGGGGTGGTCTTGGTGAAAGGGGAGTCCATATCCCTGTAGGGTCAGAGATCAGGACCCAAAGCTGAAAAGGAACAAGAACCAGGGTTTTGAGGATGGGGTAGGACTGAAAAGAGGTTTTGGCTCTCGGTGCTTCCCTGCTCCTTCCCAGGTAGTATGACAAGCTGAAGAAGACAGACTGAAGGACAGACTCAAAGGAGGTCACACGGACACCAACTGTTCTTTCAGCACTCAGCACACACTCTCCCGCCTCCCTCCCACCATCATCCCCCTTCACTTGAACAAATTCAATTTTCTCCCTCAGATTTTTTCCTGATCCCCCCAATTTTTTCCCAGCTGGTTTCTTGTTACCCAACTTCACTTTCTGCCAACACTGCAGTCTCCCTCACCACGCTCCTGTCTGTGGCACGATCCTGATCCTGTCACTCATTTCCACTCTGCTTCTGGTTCCTGCCTCGCTCTCCACACCATGGCTCTCTTTTCCCTCCTTTCTGTCTTAGGCTCATAAGGAAATGAAGCCAATGATTTGTTCCTTCTCAGAGGAAATTTTCTTTATTTTTTTCACTTCCTGGATACTGAGTTGCTCAGCATGGGGCTCTCAAGTTACTAACTTTCTGAAATCTTGATGATTAGAAGAAGTCTTAGTTCTGTTCTTTGTCTAACTGGTATAACTCAGCCCATGCAAACTGTCCTGGCCCTTCAGTCTTCTCATACTCCATTAGTTTCACAAGATGCTGTACACCTGCTACAGACACTGGTCTCCAGGAGTTATCCTCTAATGAATCTGTGTCTCCCCACTAAGCTCTATGTGGGAATATCTGACCCTTCTCTCAGTACAAGGATAAGACCCGGAGTGGGTCTTTATTTAGACCTCCACTCTTACTCTTGCCTCAGACAGAAGAGAACATCTGTGCACACACACACTTGCACATACTCGCACACACGCATACAGGCCTAGGAATATGCCAGCCAAGCTTGGAAAAGCAGAGTGAGGAGTAGGGAGGGGCTTAGTGCAAACAGGTCAGTCCCTCTGCTGTCTGCCAGGTGGTAAGCTTCTTGCCTGAAGTCCCAGTGGTAACTTCTGTGTGTTTCTCACTGAACATTAAAGTAAGGCCCACAGAGAAAAGCACAAATGTAAAGAAACAGAGACCTGTGCAGAAATATGAGCAGAGAAGCCTGGAGATAAAGACAGAGGTACAGGCAAGGAAATACAGAGACAAAGAGAAGCGAAGATACCAAAGCAGAGATAGTAGGATGGAAAACAGCAGGGAGGTGGGGATTGAGGAGGAAGCTGGGGGATGGGACACCAACTCTTAAACTATCTCTGGCAGGAGGAAATTTAGCCCCCAGATGCCTGAGAAGAGAGGCTGGGATAGGGTAGGAGAAGCAACTTTAGGAACTGGATGTTCCACTTCTCCTTGGTCCTGGGACCTGTGCCCTGCTCACTGGTGCCCTGCCCCAGGCCTCCACACATGAGCCTGCAATCCTGTTCTGGTGGCTGAGAATCGGGGCCTGGCTACCTGAAAACCGCAGGAGCCGGGAGAAGCCCCAAGGCCCCTGGGAGACTCTGGAGGAGGGGCTGGGCTAGGAACAGGGGCTGAGGCCAGCTCTGCCCTCCAGATGGGCTCATCCAGGGTAGTGGCTGCTCTGGGGGGAAGCACAGTGGGAGCCAGGGGCTCCGCAGTAGGCTGGGGCCCCGGAGTGGAAAATCTGCGAATCTCCTGGACTCGGGCAGTTTTGGGAGCCCCTAAGGAGGTGGGGCCAGGAGTTGGGGGAACCTCATCAAAACAGAACATGGCAGTTTTAAGTTGGTAGGGTTGATGCCGCATGAAATCCAGAGCCTTGATGCCCTGCTTGGGGGTCGCACGAGGCCCCTGGGATTGGGCCTTACTCGGGAGAGTTCGGGCAGCCTGGGGGAAAAAGGGGGAGAGCAGTGGGTTGTAAGCAATAGGAGGTGGGGCACGGATGTTGGGTGAATATTTCCAGGAAGGGGGCAGTGAGGGGGTGGGAGAAGGACTTCTGGGCCGAGGGCCAAGGCGGGGACCAGGTGTAGCTTCCACCACATACCTATCTGCACGGCTCTGCCGCTTGGCAAACAGCTCCCCACCCCTTCCCTGAAGCCTTGCCGGCTCAGGGATTCCAGCCGAGGGGGCTGCCCCATTCACTAGCCCATCTAGGAGCCCTCGGGATGGAGGCTTAGGTGCCACTGGAGGTGGAGTCTTAGGAGCCGTAGGGGGCGGGGTCTTGGGAGCCATTGGAGGCGGGGTTTTAGGTGTCACGCGAGGCAGGGTCTTGTAACTCCTGGGCCCTGGTGGCTGCATGAAGTTACAGGCTTCAGCCCCGAGGCTCAGAGCGTCCTCCTCAGGACCGGATTCAGCACCCCCGGCCCGGGGTTTTTCATCCAGGTTTTGCACCAGCGATAGCAGCTCGGGGTTGGGCGAGTTCTTCTCCTCCTTTCCCGGCCGGAACATCTGCTTCCGGGTCCCCCGGCGCCGGGCCTCCTGCAGGATGCCGGTGCGGGCAGCTGGCACCGAGATGCGCTGTTCCCGGGCGCTGCGGGGCTCAGGGGCCGCTGGGCCTGGGGCGGGCACCTCTGGGCGCGCAGAGGATCGCAGAGGCGCAGATAGGAAGATAGACGCGGTGGATGTCATGGCAGCTGTGCTAGGAGGACCTGGGGGCTCTGGGGCTCCGCCTGGGGTAACAGGCCGGCTGGGGGCTGGGATGTACAGGGAGCTGGTGGCCGTCACCGGGCCCGAGGCGCGTGAGGTGCTGGCGGACCCCGAGGCTGGCATGTGGCTGGGAACCCCTGAGGTGAAGCTGGACTGAGGGGTGGGCCCCTGTGGAGTGGACAAGAAGGGGGGTGGGGCGGGGCTGAGGCCTCCCAGGCTTTCGTTCGCCCTCTTGGGCGCTACGGGCCGGAAAATAACCGAGGTGGTGCTTGGCCGCTGCCCTTGCAAGCCCGGGGTAAAGGGCCTGGCCGACCGGTTAAAGACGCTTGGAGCTGGGGTGGAGGCCCCACCACCCGGTAGGAAGGGGCTGGGGCTAGCCACGGGGGCCGGCAAGGGGCTGGGTGGGAGCACAGCCGCGTCCGGAGGAGCACTCTGGGCCCGAGGTGGTGACTGCAGGCCCTGCCCATTGCTCATGGCTGCGGAGCCAACCTTTTCCAGCTCCTGTGTGCTGGAGGCTGCGCGCTGGCGCTGCTGTTCAAAGAGCTGGACCCCTCTCCCAGAGGCCTCGCTCAGCTGCCCTCCCAGCCCAGGGCCCTGGCCCTCTGCTTTGCCTGAGCCCACCCTGGCCAGCTCCATGTCCAGATAGGGGCTGTCCCAGTCGGACTGATTGGTGAGGCTGCGGGCGTCGGAGAAGGTTTCTTCCTCGAGCTCTGACTCACTGGTGGGGGGAATGCCGTCCTCCTCCTCGGCTCCTGTCCCAGCAGCAGCTCCAAAGCTCACTAGGGTGTACTTCTTGGCTCTCTGCCGGCGTTTCTTAAACATAAGCACTCCCTTGGAGTGGGGGTTAGGGGCTGCAGTTAGCAGGGATGCAATCGTCCGGCATTTGGTCTTGGCTTCCTTCACACTCTTCTCTTGGAGGCTTTCTGCACGTTGCAGTTCTGAAGAGGCCAAGAGGGAGAACTGTCAGTGGGCTTCCCCAGCCAGTTCCTCAGCCTTGTTCCCCAAGGCTTTCACCCAGCACCCCAGCCAGTGCCCCCCCACCTCCCACCTCCTGCCTCCCACCTCCTACCTCCGACCTCCTGTCTTTCACTGGCCTGATCCACAATGTCTCCAGCCTGTGGCAAGGATCTCTGACTTGGGGGTAGAATGGAGGGTGAAGGGTGAAACCAAGGATAATAAAAGGGAGGCCAGAGTCCAGTTGGCTGCCCTGACACTACTCTGACCACAGCTCCTCTATCCTCGCTTCCCGCTCTTCTGCTCCTAGCTTCCCAGAGATGTGCTCTTATCCACCCCACACACATTCCTCGCCTGCCTCCCATTCCTGACTGGCAATGGAGGGGAGGGGGGGAATGTGTCACTCTCCATGGCAGGCAGGGAGATGAGGCAGGGCCCAGGGAGAGAAAAGATGAAAAGTGATGTTTTTCTCCCACCATAGAGACCATGTTAGGAGACTTCTCACAAAGTTTAGGACTCATCCCCTCTCCCCACCCCTTACTCCTATGATAAGGACACAAAGGACCCTTAGCAGTGAAGATCTTCATTCACAATTCCACCCCCATCATGCAGTCCACATCATAAACATTCACAGAAATAACTCCCGCCGCACATCATTTCAACGAGAATAGCAGTCTAGTGAAAGCCAGCTGTACGCATACTTTCTCCTGTGTGCTTTTCTCTCTCATTCACATATACCCCAGCTTACATACGCCTCAGTTCACACACACATATATAAATACTCATGCACCCACACAAAAACACACACTCAAATACATTCACACACCTACATGCCCCAGGTGGCCCTTCTTCCTAGACTTCCCCTTGCAGAGATCCTGTTGCTAACAGTTTGGACAGAATTTTAGAGTTTATCTTGGCCTTCCAATTGCCAGGGCACTCCTGTGTGCTTCACATCCCTGCTACTCACAGCCAAGGGCAGTCTTGAATCCAAGATGCAGGAAAAGCCAGAGTGCTGGTCTCCAAGGCAACCCTCCAAATCTTTGGGATATCTCAAGGTTATCAGCTAAATATATTGTCCTTTTCCCCAAGCTGGGGATGGTAGTGGGTAGGCTTCTTTGAGCCTCAGAGCTGCCCCCTATTTTTCAAGCCTTCTAGGTAAAGAGCTTTGGCAGCCGCTGCCAGGCAGGGACACAAAGACTACGTGCTAAAGGGAGCCAGGGCAGGGCTTTCCACGCCATGTGGGGCCTGGATAGGTGGGGCCAGGAAATGGGAGAGGTTGCTCTTCAGCCAGGACCCTGCCTTGGACATGGATATTTTCTGGTTGATGGTCCCCAGTTCCTCCTGAAAAATTCTCGAAATTCCGTCTATATTTCCACTCAAGATACCAAGCTCCTTTCTAAGTAGTGCTCTTATTCCTTTAATCCCAGCGTTTATACCACAGAATAGGACTGTGGATGAGAGAACAGGCATTAGAGTCAGGTTTGTTCAGGTTTCTGATACTGGGAGAGTTACTTCACCTCATTGAACTTCGGTTTCCTCATCTATAAATGAAGGTGATAATGGCTACCTCATAGGATTGCTAATAGGATTAAGTGAGATAATATAGGTAAATTTAGCACTGAACACAGCACTATGGCCCACTGTGAAGAACGATTACTATCAAAGCTTTCTTGACACTAGCACACATATAGGCGCTTTCCTGTTCACACATATCTTCTCCCACAGACTCGTACATGCATGCCCTCGTGTATTCATAATGTACTCAAACCTGTCTCACACACAGTCTGTTCCCATGAGTATTTTATGGCTCATGTGGTCATAAAACCCTTTGACATGTGGCCATAGCATCACTGAGAAAGGAGCACTAAAACTCTCCTGAGAAAAGGAGAAAGAGGACAGGAAAAGGAGGGAACAAGAGAATAAGACCTTTCCCAAAGACTGCCCTTCCTAAACTGTTGATGTATTCCCCTTCATTCTAGACCCCAGAACTCTCTTAGATACGGGAGTGTAGTACCTGCATAGAATGAGTCTTGGAGCTCAGGAACTGGGTCTGGGGCTTTGTCGCAGCTGGCTTGGCTGAGGGGCTCTTGGCTGATGGGCTCAAAGGTCTCCATGCCGAGAAAGGCAGTGTTGGCTGGAGCAGGACCAGCTTGAGCCACCCCCCATGCCTTTTAAAGCCCCTTTGTCTTGTCCCAAGAGCTGGCAGCTGAATGAGCTCACTGTACTATTTTTGGAGCCGGGCCCCCTCCCTTCTCTCCACTGCCCCACAAGCCCCGGTGTGATGGACGTGGGCACCTGCCTCCCCTTCCCCCAACTCCACCCCAGTGGACAATGAGGTCTGCTTGGCTAAAAATATCTCTGAGCCACTAACTACATTCTCACCCAGCATGATGGGAAGGGAGGGGGTGCTAAATTGAGACGTGAGGAAAGTGTGGGATCCTGAGTCTGCCTCTGGAATTTCTTTGTGGGATATTGGGCACTCTCAGGGATGTCAGACTCTAAATCGTCATGTACTTAGCCTGTATTCCAAACTTAGAGGCACAAATTCTATGGATCAGGAATCAGAATGGTGGAGGGGAGGAAAGAAAGATGAGAACCAGAGGGGGAAGCCTGAGATTTCGAGGGTGACAAGAAAGGTATATGTGGGAGGGGCATGGGAGGCATAGAGCAGGGAGAAAGTTCACCCTTAGACCTTGTTCTGTAGCTCACATCAAAAATAGCAAAGAGCCTGGGATAAGTGGAACTGGCTTTTTCTGCCCAGGCCAACATTCTTGCCTGAGATAAGGATAAGGAGGTAGAGATCCCTCCTTCTACCACTTCCTAGGGATCTCATGACCATCCCATAGCCTCCCAGTTGCCAGGAATCCTAACTGAACTTACTCAAAGGTAGCTCTGATGCTATGCCTGCAATTAACTCTGTAAAGAACCCCTATAGCCTTGCCCTGCTTCCCAATACTCCCCTGCCCTGAGTCCATACTCTGCCCTCACCCCACCCATACACAATCCTGACAAACGATAGCAATAACCACCACCAAACCCTTCAACTATTCATGTCCTTTCCAACTTCCCTCCTTATCCTGTTCCTGGGTTGGATTGAACCAGCTGTACCTTTTTGCTACATTGGTTCAAACAACAAAAATAATGGGGACCATGACAATAATTATGCTTCCCTTCCAGCCATCACTCTTTTCCTCTTGTCCTCAAGACTATATCTGAGGGACATAAGGTAGGTAGAATGTATGGTCATGGAGGGGTAGAGTTAGGGCTCAGATTGAAGGATCCTGGCTGGGGAAAAGGGGTTCATGCACTCACTGGCTTGCTTGGCCTTCTGCGTGTAGGTAGTAGTAAGATCTTCTGCCACTGGGTGGGGAACAGGCCCCACCATAGGGATGAGATGAGGGCCAGGCCGGAGTGGGCCATGGGGTAACAGCAGGGCTTCATCTGGAGGTGGCTGAAGGGCTGCTCCATCCTCCCAAGATGGGGAGCTCACACGGCTGTCACCCTGGCTCTGAGGGCCAGGGATTACAGGTACTGGCTCTGCTGGGCTGTCAGACAGGTAGACCTCATCAGGTGGGGCACCCGGAGGGGCGGGCCTCGTGGGGCCTCGGCGGCGGGGTCGGCGGGGCTTCTCCTGGGTGGCAGGACCATCAGCATCACTGTCTGTCTCTCCATAGTAAGCCTCACTGTCGGGAGGTGAGAGAAGGCTCCCAGGCTGAAGAGGCTGGGGAACTGGAGCACCAGGGGGCTCAGGACTCAGCGGAGATAAGGGTGACAGCACCTGAAGCTCACCAGGGGATGGAGAGCGCACAGACCCCTCATCTGCTACCCTGGATGGAAAAGATGACAAAACTTGAGAGATGTGCTGGGTGACTGACAGCTTGAGAGATCTGGAGGGGATGGGGGGAAGAGGTAAGGGAGACTGAGGGGACTGGTATATAGTTGGAATGGACTGGCTGGGAAGAGCGAAGATACGAAGACATACTGGGAGGCAAATGTGCTTAGAAATGGGCTTAGAGGAGGATGTGATGAGGAGTCAGGCAGGGGTTGAAGTCGGCCCATCACTCACTTGACATCCACTTGACACCCCCATCCCTTATTGCAGATACAGTCAAGCCCTTTAGGAGACATTCACAAACATCCACACTCCAGCAGAAATGCACAAGCAGAAGTAGGCACTTGTTAGTTGCTGAAGCCAAGCCAAGGAGATATAGAACTGAGACAGGCAATAGGAGTCCTAGACTAGGGAAAGAGAAGGGGAGGGAGGTCCATACCGCCGCACAGTGAGGACAAGCTGATTCCCTGAGGCATCGATGAGGCTCATGGCACTGGCATGAGAGAGGCCGGTGCAAGAGACCCCATTGATTGTCAAGAGCTGGTCCCTCTCTCGGAGTCCTGCTCTGCCAGCCTGGCTACGTCTTCGGATCTGAGATGTTGAAGGAGAGATTATAAGTGAAGGAGGGCTCCAAAGGGAATAGAATGAAAGGCGAGGACAGGAAGGACCCATGTGAGGGGATTTTACTTCGCAGAATAAGATGGGTGGGGATATATGTGGAGCTGCAGTTGAAGGGGACTGTCTAGGGGGAAGAAGGTACACACATTGAAGGGAGTAATACATCACATGATGGGAGGAAGGGTAACCACTGAATGAAAGAGGCTTGGAGAAAACTGCGTGGGAAAGGGCAGTATCTATACTGGCCAATAGTTCTCTTCTAGGCCTTGGAATCCCAGGTGCCATTACACAGTCAAGATGTTAGAACAGTATTCTAGATTGGAGGGAATCCAGAGGATTCTGGGAGATTGTGATTATGTGTGTATATGTGTGCCATGTGTGCACACGCATGTACATATGTTAAAATAATAATAAAAGTAGTGACTACCATTTATTGAGTTCTTACTAAGTGTTGGGCACCATGCTACATGTATTATTGCATTTAATCCTTAGAATGGTTCTATGAAGCAGGTACAGATACTATTATTACCCACATCTTAAAGTTCAGAAAACTAAGCCTGTAGGGTGAAGCCAAAAGGGTACTGACTTCATCTGAGAGGCCAGCCCTTGCTGTAACCTTCCTAGTACCTAAAAGAGTCTTACCCCAGTGAGAGAAAGGGTCTGACTTAGGGAAAGAGGGGCAGTGAAGGCGTGGGCAGGGCAGGGCTGGGCTGGGCTGGGCTGGGTGAGACAGCCTCAATTCATTATGCATCAGTTTCGTCAGAGAGAGAAATTAGAACTTCCCTACATTCCTGGAATTTGGAGTAGAAGCACATGCGCAGGAGAGCAAACACTGGGTGACCAGGCCCAGACCTCAGCTACTATGGTGCAATAGGAAATGAAAGCAGAGCCTTTCTTTTTCTCTGCTCCCTAGAAACCAGGAATTCTCTTTTTTAATAGCCCCCCAAAAGCCTGTGGTCAGACAGTACTCCCCCTACCAGACTTGAGCATGCTTCCCTGCCCACCTACCCACCCCATCTTCATGGCCCCCTCCACCCACTCCATAGGCCAATTGATGAGACTTCCCAGGATCCACTGGGCTCCCCTTTCCCTGAAACCTCATTTCAGGGGCTCTCCCTTACCTTGGACACCTGCAAGTGTTTCCTCTGCTCGGCCCCCCCCTGAAGTCGGAAGCCCCAGGGTGCTCCCCCTGATAGTGTGACCAGCACCTCCTCCTCAGCACCCATCGCTCAGCTTGGTCTATGGCCCCTGGAGTTTAGACAGTGTTCCAGGGAGAGAAGTCGAGGTGCTGGTACCCGGTCCGGCCTGCCTGTCCGGCTGTCCTGTTCCTGCTGCCCCAGGCCTCCCCCCCAACACACATCACAAACAGGCAACTCGGCCCTGGGATCAGTACAGTCCTGCACACGTGTCCCGTCAATCGGAGCTGTGCTCAAAATAGCTGCCCGCTGTACTCTCCCCTTCCCCCATCTGTGTTACTCCTAGAGCTAATTATAGTACAGACTTCTGCCCTCCACGTCCCTCATTCTCCTGTATGAGGCTTTTACTCAGGACTCAGAGTATTCTCTCAGCTTTATAACTAATGTACAACCTTTCAGGAACTACACTTTCCCTGATAGGATCATGGACTAATTGCAACTGCTTTCCTCCAAAGCCCATCTCAAAGTGGCAATAGTGGGGGCTTGAATTTCAGAGGTGGCAAAGAATGGCTTGTTTGGCTCCACAAAGTCCAAGACTTTCAGGAAAGAGTGCCCCCTTGCTACATGAATGTACTTGTTCATCAAAATGGAAATCTATATTCTACTGCAGTGCTTCGTGCCGTAAAGAGGAATTCTGATCAGCCTTGCTCCAGTTGAACTGTTACTTCTTCTGTAAAATCTTTCCTGACCACCTCCCAACTCCCCACCTATAGAATTAATCCTTCCTTTCTCTGGGCAACATATGTATTTTGTTCATATTTCTACTGTTGTATTTCTCAGCCAGTAGTATAGTTTGTGTATTTGCCTATCTTCCTTCCTAGACTGTGAGAAAGTTGAGGGCAAGGACAACAACCAATCAATAGCCCACAGAGTAATGGCTGATGTAATGGGTACTCAATAAATGCTTGCTGAATTAAATTACCTATTAAAATACATAGGTCATTATGGAAAAGTAGACACAGACAGGTGTGTGTAAATATACTAACCAATGTTATGAAAACCTGTACTTGTTTCTAGGCTTCCAGTACATGAATGTGCCCTACATTAAGAGATCTTCTTCTGTTACAAAACATAACATGGTGCTGTAACTGCTACGAAGGGCTACACAGTTTTGTAGAATAGCTGCTCCCCTAGTGCACTAAATGCTGTTTGCCTTGGTGTATGATGTAGTCATAGAAAACATTTGGGATTTCGGGTCAGAACTGGATTTGAGTTGTTGTTCCATCATTTATTAGCTCTGTGACCTCAGGCAGTCACTTGTCCTCATCAGTAAAAAGAGGATCTAAATATCCATTCATTCACTATTCAAACATTTATTGAGTGTTAGCTACACATGAGTCATTGTGGTATATTAGTGGTTTTCAGTTAACCCACAGTACATAATACAATCACCTGAAAAACTTTTAAAGCTATTAATTCCCTAAGAAAAGAGCGTAGGCTGGGCATGGTGATTCATGCCTGTAATCCCAGCATTTTTTTTCCCCCTAATCCCAGCACTTTGAGAGGCCAGGAATTTGAGGCCAGCCTGGACAACATATCGAGACCCCTGTCCCTACAAAAAATAAAAATATTAGCTGGCCATGGTGGTGTGTGCCTGTAGTCTTAGCTACTTGAGAGGCTGAGGCAGGAGAATTGCTTCAGCCCAGTTGCAGTAAGCTGATTGCGCCACTGTACTCCATCCTGGGTGACAGAGCCAAATGCCATCTCTTAAAAAAAAATAGGACAGAGCCATATAGGATTACATGATTATGTAATAAAATTTTATACAAATTACCCCCACCCCAAGGCCTCAGCTTTAGGGATTCCAATTTTATTGGTCTCTTACCCAATATTGGTATTTTTAATTTTTTTAATTTTTTAATTTTTTTTGAGATGGAGTCTTGCTCTGTCACCTGGGCTAGAGTGCCGTGGCATCAGCCTAGCTCACAACAACCTCATGGTCTCTCTCGAACTCATGAGCTCAAGGGATTCTCCTACCTTGCCCTCCCAGAGTGCTAGGATTACAGGTGTAAACCACTGCGCCCAGCTAGTATTGGCATTTTATAAGCAACACCGATGATTCTAATGTGCAACCAAGGTTGAGAATCACTGAGTAGAGCTACAGAAGTCAACTAAATGCAACACATCAGCCTCTGTCCTCAAGAAACTATCAATCTAGTATCTACCACTTACTAGGGGTGCAATCTTAAGCAAGACAGAGGATACCTACTTTCCTATGCTGATATGAGAGTTAAGTGGGATAATCACATGATAGTGCTTAGCAGAAGGCCCATCCTAGGGCAGGTGCTCAACAAATATTAGCTGGATTTGGCAAATTATTCATCTAGACCAGTGGTTTTCAATCTTCAGTGGGCAACGGAATCCTCTGGAGGGCTTGTTAAACTACAGCTTGCTGGGCCCAACCTCCAGAATTTCTGACTCAATATATCTAGGGTAAGTCTGAAATTTGCATTTCTAACAAGTTCCCAGGTGATACTGATACTATTGATCCCAGGATCACACTTTGATAACCACTGACCTCAACTATATACTGATATACAATGTCTGTTTCCTCAATGACTAATATAGTTTCCAGTACAGACTAACGTACAAATTTTTCAATGAATGAACCATTCTGTGTCTCAGCCTAACTAGTACGAACTGTCAACAATATGAGAGCAAGAACTTTTGTTCACTACTGTATTTCCAGAACCTGTAACATGGCTTGGCACACAGAAGTGCTCAAAAAATTATTAAGCGATGTTAACGGAAAAGAAGCCAAACTCTGTAAAATAATTTTAAAGATATTTATTCTGAGCCAGATTTGAGGACCATGACCTGGAGCCACACCCAAGAAGCCTTGAGCAACTGGACTGGCTGTGGTTGGGTTACAGTTTGGTTTTATACATTTTAGGGAGACAGGGGTTACATGTAAAGTCATAAATCAATACGTGGGGGGCATACATTGGTTTAGCCCATAAAGGTGGGGGCCATCTCAAAGCAGGGGTGGAGGGGTGGGGGGCTTACAGGTTACAGGTGGGGTTTAAAGATTCTTTGACTTGTAATTGGTTAAAGACATGAAGCTTTGTCTAGAGGTTTGGAATGTTTTAAGATAAGATTAAGATAAGGAGCTGTTAATCAGAGACAAGCCACTGGACATATATTTGTTGTATAAATTGAGGACCTGCAGGTTTGTCTTGCATGCCCTTAGGCCTGCTAATGGGTTACAAAGGATGTCCCCAAGAAGGGAGGGGGGCATGAGGAGGCGTGTCTGACCTCCCTCCTCCTGGCAGGCAATTTAGTTTTAGGATATCCCCTTGGCCAAGAGGGGGTCCATTCAGTCAGCCAGTGCGGGTGGGTCCCTTACGATTTTATTTTAGTTCACAGCGAATAAATAGTATTGAAAGACTTAAAAGAGGTCATGTATATGAAAAAAAAAATCCTCCAAATGTTATCTACAATTACTCTTATTAATTAAATGGGGTAATAATAACTGCTGCAGGAACTATAGCTCTTCAACAGAGATCAGAGATCTTTTGGCTGTGGTACACCTCTGTAGCTAAACGAAGGTGCTGTATAAAAATGGTTAATAACAACTGATCTTTATTGAGTGCTTACTATGATGTCAGGCAATCTATGTGACCTATCTAATTCCATCCACTCAGCAAGCTTAGATGGGTATTATTATCTCCATTTTATACCTCCCGATAAAAAAACTGGATGCACAGATTAAGTTGTCCAAACCAGTGAACCAGAACTCCCCATGCATGCAGCCTGATAGAAAGCAGAGTTAGTGCCCTTTACCACCACCACACGTTCTGCAAATTTCATGACCAGCAAAGGTCATGGGTGAAATCAACCTAGAGGACGGAAATCAATGGGGTCAAGGGTCAACAGGAAATGACAAGACTCTAGATCAGAGGTCATTAACACGACAAAGGTGGATTGGAGGGGCGTTACTAAAGATAGTTTGACTCAACCTTTTTAATCGCAACTCAGTTTGTGAGGCCATAAAGTGACCAGGACATCTGAAAAAGAAAAAAAAAAAAAAAAGAAAATGCATAAGACTCAGCGGAGCCTCCCTGGGGCGGCCATGACGGTAGAGAACAGCGGCGCATGCGCAGCATCCGGGTTCTTAAACGCGTGCCTAGTGCAGACGTGGCAGAAGTAGTGGCCCTGCCCTGGAGCGTGGGGGAGGAACTTCCGGGGGTGACGCAACGGCGCCCTCGGAACCGGAAGTGGAGCCTGGGATCCTTGACGTTAGGAACGAAGTCGAACCTGGATCTGGAGCCGGGTGAGGAGTGGCATCGGGACTTTGGTGGGTAGGAAAGCAAAGGAGAGGCCAGGGTATTACTGGCCAGATCGGGGTACGGTTTCAGAAGGAAGGGAGGAGCCTGGGGGCGGGGCCCAGGAAGAGACCCTCACCTCACGCATCCACGATCCTGGATAGGTCCTAGACCCTCCCTTCGCCTCCCGGCCCAGATTCCGGCTCCCGCTTCCTGCCTCGAGCCCGTTGAAGGGCGCAAGACTCTTGGGCTCTATGCTTAACAGACCAGCCCCCTCTCTTATCGTGGCCTTAGAAGTTGGCGTCCCGGCTTCCCGATCTTGATCCTCGGCGCTCCCAGCCTCCACAGCTTGACTACTTTCAGAGTTTTGGGAAGCTTGCCCCGCCCCCTAGGGTTGTCACCCTCAGCTGTCCACCCAGAATAGAGTCGAGACTTCCCCCTGACTCCAGGCTCTTGAGTGTGTTTGAGGAGATTATTTCCTGGAGAAGAAGATCCTTTCCTTACCCCTCCCCGCTGACTTTAGAACGATAAAGGAAGGGGGACATCTGTCAAGCTTAATGTCAGTGACCTGTGTGAGGTTTAGGATTTGGAAGAACAGCTACTGAGATGGCTCTGAGTTTAAAGAGTTGTAGTCTAGAATCAGCTTTGCTTTCTTAGTGAAGATGGCCCTTCCTAGCAAAGGGGTGAGGCCTGTTGTTCCAATTGTGAGCGCTCCTGCTTCCTGGGCCACTTCTGTCTACAGGAAGTCTATTGGAATGATAAGGCTGTTTAGATGTGATCAGATAGTTTTCTTCTTGGAAAGACCCGACCTAGGAAGGCACCCTCATTCATCCC